TTAAATATAATTTAAAGCAAACAAGAATGAAAATATGTATCACCATATTTGTTTAATACTAGTTAGAATTAAACGTGAATTGTACGTTATTATAAAATACTTTATAAGTGTTAGAAAAATAATATTTGGTACCAATTTGTTAGAAGGATTTGATGAGTTTTAAACGAACTAAAGAAAATAAAATTTAGTATAAAAATTTATGAAAAAATTGTACTTTCACAACTCAACTTTTATGATACAAATTTTTCGTTATGATAAAATACTACAAATGAGCAACTTTTTTTATACTGCATTTGATATATAAGAATTAATTGTTAATACATAAATTTAAACACCCATTAATGTGAATTTTAATTAATAGAGAATTAATAACATGAAATTCAAATATGACAAAAATTTTGTAGTACTTATTACATAATGAAAAATGAAAATGCATTATTTGATATTATTACTCCGAGAGAATATACCATTTACAAGATCCATTGGCACTCGGGATGGCCGAGCCATAAGCACGCCTAACATGCAGGTCAATTAAAGTTGAACAAATGACCTACTAGCTTACGTCACTCTATTTCAAAAATAAGCTTCTTATTTATAAATAAAAGTTTATTCACAACTCATTAATTTATGGATTTAATTCCAAAAATTAAATATCTTGACTAGCTCGTGCAGGTCCATACATAGTCCATTCAATATGTATTTACTATTTAATACATATTATCAAGCAGAATTATGCAACATTACGATTAATTTTTTCACTTGATTCTATTTGTTGCAGTAAATTTTACCTTATCAAACACGTCATATCATAATGTGGATTGTCCAATGATGTCCCCAAAAGTATAAAACCCCGAACTTGAACAGGATACCCTGACTTTAACCTGCCTCACACCCGTCAAATCAAGGTTAGGCTTACTAGGTCGGGGTTGTGAGGTCGGACTCGCAGCTCCATCAAACCAATATTTCCCAACGACCTATGGAAGCACTAATTCTACTCAACATGCAATTCTTATCTTAATGGACTCTCTCTTCGGCTCAAACTCAAGTAGAATATTTCGAAAGATACACGAACTCCTTATCCTACGAGGATAAGGACCACACATGGTTAAGTCCTTCTAGAACTCTCTCATGCTCATTCATCAGGTACGTTTTTCATTATTTCAGTTCATAACCTCACGCACTAAATACCCTATCTGACTTAAGTATCAGAGGGACGATGAGCACACGCCTCGTTGCCTTTGTTTCAAGTATTCGAAAGCCGTGTTCATTTAAGTCCATTCAAGTTTGGAGTTCAATCACCCAATTCGAAATCTTTCAGGTACAATTTTTTGGTAGCATCATCCAATATTTGCATAACGTATAGCGAATATTTGTAGAACATATGATAATTAAAATTTAGGTCAATAATTTTAATTACATATCTTATGAGACTTACAATCATTCAATCACATTTTATAAATTTTTATCAAAATTTACTAAAATTTAATTTTTAATTTTCATCAAATAGGCGCTTAATATGAAATATTGGATAATATTAATCAGTACAATAATTTAACTTTTTTTTTTTTCGAATAAGCTGCTTTTACTGGTATGGTTATATTTTAACATCAAGAAATTGCCACGTCAACGAATAGAGTGGCTCCAGTCCAACTTTCTCCTATAAATAAACCCCAACCCACAAAACTCGCTCCCGTAAGCAAAAACCCAACAAGTTATCATATCGTATAATGTGCGATAGCCTCAAGAGCGATTACCAACTGTGCGAAGAGCTTGGCCGTGGTAGATTCGGCGTGGTCTACCGCTGCTTCTCTCCATTTTTCGGCGAATCCTTTGCCTGCAAATCCATACACAAGAATTCCCTTTCCGACGACCCCATCGACCGTCAGTGCCTAGACAAGGAGCCCAAGATTCTTCAGCTCCTTTCTGGCTGTCCCAATATCCTTCAGCTGTACAAGATCTATGAAGATGATGATTATCTGCATATGGTGACGGATTTGTGCGACGGAGGTGATTTGTACGACCGGGTTTCGTTGGGAACGCCGTTTACTGAACAGGATGCGGCGGCGGTTTTGAAGCAGTTGATGGTTGCTATTAGTTGTTGTCATCGATTGGGGATTTCCCATAGAGACATCAAGCCGGATAATATCTTGTTTGATTCTGCCGGCCGATTGAAGCTAGCGGATTTTGGATCCGCTGAGTGGTTTGGAGTTTCTGAGGAGGGGCTCATGACGGGAGTGGTGGGGACGCCGTACTACGTGGCGCCGGAGGTGCTGATGGGTAGAGAGTACAATGAGAAGGTGGATGTATGGAGTGCTGGAGTGATTTTGTACATCATGCTTAGTGGGGTGCCGCCATTCTATGGGGAGGGGCCTGCCGAGACTTTCGAGGCGGTTTTGAGGGGGAATTTGAGGTTTCCGTCTAGGATTTTCCGGTCGATTTCGCCGGAGGCCAAGGATCTGTTGAGGAAAATGATTTGCCGGGATGTTTCCCGGCGACTGTCTGCCGACCAAGTCCTGAGTGAGTATTTTTCCCTCTCAACTCGCGTGTTTTTACCGCTCTTTTTTCTTTAGTCGAGAAATTCACAAAATCTGGTATCGATTTGTCCTTCACACTGTTTCCCAAGAAAATTAAAACGAATTGAGTTCAATTTAGTCTCTGATATAATTTTGGTTGTGACTATGCAGGGCATCCATGGATCATTAATGGAGGAGATATCAGATCAGTGTCTGATCAGACCTGAAACACAATGACAATTTCAAATAGCTGCTGGTGTACAGACTCTATCCCATGAAGGATTAAATGGAAAAAGAAGAAGAATGTTCGAGATGCAGTACGGACTTTAAGATTGTCAATATTGTCAAGTATTGTAGAGTTGATCCTACTAAAGGAGTAGCCATCGGGGTCGAAGGCTATCCCCTTATGCTTTTTCCCTTATTGTTGTGTAAGAGAAGCCGAGGCCATCCCTTTTTCCTTTTGGGTGCTTACCTTCTCTCGTAGAAGAAGAAGAAGAAGAAGAAGAAGAAGAGATTGTATATATATGCGTGAATGATAAATAAATAAGTGCAGTTATGTGAATGAGAAGGTTGAAAATCCCCTCTATTTTTCATGCCTTTTTCTGGGTTTTGGAATCCCCAGGTTCCGGGGGCTCTATTGTAAGAATCATGTACTTTGCGCTTGAAGTTGAAGTTTCTCACTTTTCAAGTTTTTGATTGAAATCTTGGGTTAGAACTGAAAAAGAAAAAAAGAAAA